CTCCCCTGCTTCTGACTGTACCCAGTAATTGTATAAATAAATAAATCTTTTAAGAAAGAAAGAAAAGAAAGAAAGAAAGAAAGAAAGAGAGAGAGAGAGAGAGAGAGAGAGAGAGAGAGAGAAAGAAAGAAAGAAAGAAAGGCATAGAACAAGTCCTAGTGTCCAGACCTGTAAGAAGATAAAAGTTTGGTCTTGCTGCAATATATGGCCTGGGACTAGGGGATGGAGAATGGTGTTAGACAAAGCAGGGCCAGATCATAGAAGATCTGGTAAAATGATTTAAATGAAGTGGTTTCAACAGAGAATTGACATGGATATGAGTGGGCCAAGCATAGAGTGGGAGGCCAGACGGGAAGTGGTGGTGGTTGCTCAGATCAAGTGGTAGTGGTGAGGCTAGAAGAGGGCCATAGAACTTAAAGTATGGGTGCTAGAATTGATTTGAGTTAGTAACTGAATGGAGGTCATGGGTGAGGATGAAGAATGTGGTGAAGGTAAGGGAAGGAAGGGTGACTCTGGTATTGTAGGTGTCATTTGCTGAGATAGGGAGTGACTGGAAAAGACTGTGGTCTTGTGGGAGGTAAAATGAATAGATGAGTTCCACTCTAGATGTGTTAAGAGGTATCTGTGGGAGACTTGGTAGGGAATGTCTGGTAGATAGGTGACTCCAAGTTTAGACTTTCAGGGGAGATGAAGATGGAGGTCTGTGAGGCATTGCCATCTTTGTGCTTGGAACTCTTGTGAGTAAGATTGTCCAGGAGTGTGCAGAATGAAAAGAGAAGAGAATTGGTATTGATGGCAGGGATGGATTAGGAAATCCCCAGGCAGCAATATGGTCAGCTTCAAAGAAGTGCTCTGAAGAGTCGGACCTGAAAAGAGTTGGACCAAAAGAGCTTTTTTCTTCAAAGTCTCTCATCCTGCCTTCCTGCCACATTGCCACCTCACTCCTTCCTCTCAGTTTTCTCCCATGTTGGCATCAACCAGAATGTTTCTGTGATACCCCTAATCTCTGGAGGAGAGACTGACCAAGCCAATTTGGATGCAGACTCTATCTCATACCCTTAAGTTTGTGGAGGTATGGGAGGTTTATAACACAAACACAGAGCTGCTGAGAGTTGCTGCTTTGCATAGGTTGGTAATTAAGAAAGTCCATTTTACACTGGTTAGATACTGGAAGGTTGGGAAGGAGCCAGGGTGTTCTGCAACCATCCCAGGCTGTGTAGGTTCATCATCGGTTCATGCAGATGAAAGAGAACCTTGGAGCCCTTGGCATCATCCCCACAGGTCAGGAGAAACAAGCCAGCAGGAAGACAGCAACTTGCTCCCCCCATCTCGCCACCCCCCCCACCCCCGTGAATCCCAAACGCTCTTTTTTCTCTTACCTGTTCTCCACTGCTCTTCATTGCACTCTGCCACCCTGGCCTCTGCTGCTGCCCTTATATGCTCCATCTCTCAGTGCACCCACTCATGCAGGCGCACACCACACTCCAGGTGCTACCATCGGGCCTGCATGTAAGACCACAGGTAAGACCACATTGATGCTAATGGCAGGAGGGAGAAAAAAAAATCTGAAAACTTCCATTTACCCTACACAAGGGGAGCATAACATTTAAGGGGTTAAAGAAGAAGAGTAGCAAAAGCAAATGAGAAGGCATATCTAGAAAATTAGAAAAAAAAGCAGAAACTCAGGAGACACAAATCTCAAGAAGGCAACAGTCAAGGATCCAATATTGCAGAGTGCAGTGTGCACGTGCGTAAGTAGGTGCACCTGAGCCTAAAGACCGCCTATAAGGCCAGAGTCACAGTGGTGCAGCAGCAGAGAGCAGAGGACCAGCAGTAGAGACCAGCAAAGAGACCAGGAGAGAAAACAAGAGAGTCCAGAGAGAGTAAAGATTACCGGAGTCTAAGAGGCTGCCCTGCACCTGGTTGCATCACTACAAATAGTGTAGAAAGATCATTAAAATCCTGAAAAGCCACTGAGGGCTCCAGGACTCTCCTTTTCCTGTCTGCGCAGATCATAGAAAATCTGCTCTGTGCCTTGCTGGCGCTATAACTGCCTTTGCCTTCCACTTTTCCAAAGAAGGTTCCTAAGACGTCCTTAGAAGCAGTGGTTCCAAAATTTTAACATGCATCAGAATCACCTGGAGGGATTATGAAAACACAGATTTCTGGGCTTTTGATTCTGTGGGAAGGGTCTAGGGGCAGGAATGGCACGGAGCAGGTTTTCTGATCCAGCAGACTGGGTAAAGGAGGAGAGAGTCCTGGAGCCCTCAGTGGCTTTTGCAGACTTTTATTGGGATTAACCAGGTATATGGCAGACAGAGGTGCTGGGGGGCCAGGAGGCTGGTAGGCCTCCCAGCCCCCAGCAAGTCTTCACTCTGTCTGGGCTCTCTGGCGTTCTCTGGTGCTTCTCTCTGCTTCTCTTGTGGTTCTGCTCCATTCTGCTGCTCTGCTTCTGCTGGCATCCCAGTGATGCCACCCGTAAAAGCCCAGTCTTAGCCCAGGTGAATCCCAGATACATATGCCCACACCCTATTCCAGGACCGCAGGGTTCCGTCATCTATCCTAATGGCAGGAGGGCAGAAAAGCCTGATACTTTTTACCTTACCCTACAAAGGGTCCATGTGTTTGCTTTCCCAGTGAGATCCCAGGTGATACTGATGCTGCTGGTCCACATTGAGAATCACTACTTTAGGGCCTGGTTCTCAGAAACTAGATATGGGAATCTGGAAACAAAGCTAATTTATTGAGCACAGGAATGAGTAGGATTGTAGTGGCAAGAATGGACAGTGCAGGATCTCTGTGATCCAAGCAGACAGGTAAAGGAGGAGTCCTGGAGCCCTTGGTGGCCTTTTCAAGCTTTTATTGAGTTTACCAGGTACTCAGCAGGCAGCATTGTGGGGGGGCCAGGAGGCTGGCAGGCCTCCCAGCCCCCGGTGAATCTTCCCTCTTTCTGGACTCTCTGATGTTCTCTCATGGTCTCATTCTCTCTCTTTTGCTGGTTCTACTGTCTTCTGTTCTCCTTCTGGTGGTTCTGTTCCTCTGGCATCCCGTGACACCACACTTATGGGTTCAGTCTCTCAGCCCAGGTGAACCCACCTGCGCATGCCCACACCCTACTCCAGGTGCCCGCCATCAAGCATGCATTCAGGACTGCAGGGATCCATCTATCCTAATGGTGGGAGAACAGAAAAACCTGACAATCATTAATTACCCTACAAGAATGAAAATGTATATAGCTGAAAAAAAATTAGAAAGAAATATTGTGAAAGCAAGGACAATTATTAAAGGGAATGTACCATTTTTTTGAGAAGGATAAGGTTTAGCTTTATAATAAAGTTGTTAGGATATGCCTAGCATAAGGCAACCTGGCCCCATATTCCTTGTTGGCATTGAGAAGAATGCTGACTTAACATCCAGGTGTGGGTCCAATCGCAGCTTGTCACTCACTGATTTTAAGATGTTGTGTCAGCGTGAACACCTTTCCTAACTTCCATTGCCTCTCTTTCAAGTGGGGTTAGATGACTTCTACATTGTTTCTCAGAAGTTTAATGGGAAATCCTTAAGAAATTAGTTTTCAGGAGAGTTAATTAGCATAATTGGTGTATTTCCCATTGGTGTATATTTGGATTGATGCTGTTCTGTTTCCTATTTACATAATCACTAAATGTGTCTTCATAATTTTAAAAGTATATTTTTTCCTCCATCACTTCCCAAGTCTCTAAAATTTTCTGTATAGCAGGAAAGTTATATGTAGTATTTATGGACCTATGTTTTAGACAAAGACAATAGAGAATCAAATGACACCTGCACCACAATTTTGGTGTGTGGTGGACTGTAGGAAGGGAGTTTGGTGCCTCAACTCATTACATATGCCATACCCATTTGTGCTAGTCTATCTATCTGGATCTTTTGATCTGAATACAGTTGGTTGAAGTCCTCCTTCAAAACTCTCATCAAACTCTCATTTGCCACCCATAGTAAAGTTAAGCTGCACAACTAGAGCCGGACTGTTTATCCAGGATTCTGGCCGCTCCCTGAAGGGTTTGCTGCCTGGCCAAAATTTCAGATTAAGGAGGAGAAAGAACTGAGTGTACCCAGTGACCTTGTCCCTTAGTCTCCCCCACCCCTACTCAGTTCTTATAACAGAGGCCAGAAGTTTGCTGTTTATTTTTCCAAATTTATAAGGTTTGATTCATTGGCCTTTTAGAGTCCAATGAGTGGGGAGGAGAGGGATCTTCAAGAGAAAATGGGGAAAGTAGGATATGAAATCTAATCTCAGTTGTCCCTTAGTTGAGAAGATTTGTTGTTCCTTTCCCAGCATCCCTGCCTTGTCCTGTTTCTGAATTCCACTCACATTAACATTGCTAGTGTTGCTATGCCAAAAGGAAAGACTTCATCTATAAAATGTCTGGGATAGTAGTCAGGGGCTCTTGAGGTGAGTGTGGGCAAGAAGGGACAGTGTCATCAATCAGCAGCTCATGGGAAGGTGGGGAACTGGACTGAGCTCTCTGGGTTTGACCCCAGCTTCCTGACATTGGGTGAGTTATCCATTTGCTGACTCAGACTCTGAGTCTTCATATGAGTAATCTAGATGATAATATCTACACCAGAGGCTGTTGAATATATAGAATGTGATACTGTACAAAATCAGAGCTCAATAATCTCAGTTGCTTTTATAAGGTTTAAGGAGTATGACTTATGGCTATTAAGAGGGACTGCGGTTTTAGAACATTGGGGTGCTTTTTTTTTTTTTTTTGGTCAGAATGCAGGAAAGTGTGTTCAAAAAGTAGAGAAAAGGCCAAGAATGGCCTTTGGCAGTGGTTCAACTACAACCATTCATTAACACAGCTACTCATTTCCTCCAGATGCCTTTGCTGTGGTTTGAACTTCTGAGAATTGCACTTCCTTCAGTGACTGAAGGAGAGCTGAAGGCCAGACCTCTGGCAAAGTGTTGTCTTCTGAGGCAAAAATAAATTTTGTTACTCTTCTCTCTTCCACAGATGTCAGAGGACGAGCCTTCCGAAAAGGATGCCCTACAGCCTGGCCGCAATATTGTGGCCGCAGGTTATGCTCTCTATGGTAGTGCGACCTTGGTGGCTCTTTCCACAGGGCAAGGAGTGGACCTCTTCATGCTTGACCCAGTAGGTATCCAGTATGATGGCATCAGCACTTGGGCTCCATGGACTACTGTGCTCTAATTCCAGTACTGGGGCGAATTTACTGATTATCCCTAATATTTGCTTTTAGGGCCAGGAGTCTAAGTTGGGTAGCCAACACCATTATCAAAAATGTTAAAGACCTTTTCAGTTGATGATATTTGTGGTATTCTACAAGGGTCAGTTGTATCCATTTAGGCCTTGTCCTTAAAGAATTTATTATCTAAAAATGCATTCAACCTCACTGGTTTATGGGAATTCAATGATTTAAGAATCCCAATGCCACTGATATCCTGACAGAGCAGCAAAATCTGTCCTCTGCTGTCTAGAATAGTAGGCACTAAACTCTTGTGACTGTTACTACTTGCAGTGTGTATAGTGTGACTGGGAAACTGGATTTAAACATTTTTTGAATCAAAAAACATGGGTTTCTAGGTATGATTTAGGATCATACCTCTGCTTTGTTCATTCCTTTGCTTTGTTCCCTTATATTCTACATGTGAGTTAAATAATTTGGTATTTGTCTTTCTTCTTTTGACCTATTTCATTTAGTATACTCCTCTCCCCTCTAGTTTCATCCAGGTTGTTACAAATGGCAAGATTTCATCTTTTTTTTAAATAGCTGAGTAGTATTCCATTGTGTGTATATATGATATCTTAATCTACTCATCTGCTCTTAGGCACTTAGGTTTCTTCCATAAGTTGTCTGCAAGGAACATAGGAGTGCATATATCCCTAAAGTTAGTGTTTTTTGTATTTCTCAGGTAGGTACCTATAAGTGGGATCACTGGATCATACGTTTTACTTATTTTTAATATTTTGAGACCCTTCATATTGTTTTTAATAGGGTCTTGACCAGTGTACATTCCCCCAACAGTGAGGGTTTCTTTTTTCCCACATCCTTTCTAACATTTGTTGTTTCTGGTCTTTTTGATATGGATCATTCTCACAGGTGTGTGGTGGTATCTCATTGTGGTTTTGATTTGTGTTTACCTGATGACAAGTGATGAATGTTTTTCATGTGCCCACTGGCCATGAACTTCTTTGGAGAAGTTTCTCTGTAGATCTTTCTTTTATTTTTTTTTTATTATTATTTGTTGTTGAGTTATATGAGTTCTTTGTAGATTGTAGATATCAGCCCTTTGTGAGCTATGTGATGTGCAAGTATATTCTTCCATATCTCCATGGGATGTCTTCATTTTAGTGATAGTTTCTTTTACTGTATAGAAGGTTTTTGTTTGATGAGGTCACATTTATTTATTTTTGCTTTTTTTCCTTACTGTTTGAGTTGAGTCCTCAAAGACTTCACTGAAGTCAATGTTGTAGCGGGTTTTGTCTGTGTTTTCTTCTAAGTACTTGATGATTTCAGATCTTATATCCAAGTCTTGGATTATGAAAATTATTTAATTTTCTCTAAATTTTGTAGCTAGCTGTGACTAGTGGCTACCTACTGGACAGTGTGGACTTGGAGGACTTCTAATATATATGTTATCCCCATTGGGAGGAATAAATGGTAGAAAATTATTTTGTTAGATTCTGCATTATTTGCCTCACTCTCCACAATGAGAAAATGCTCAATGGTAGAAGGGGAAGGAATACAACTCCAGGGTAGAAGAAATGTATAGCAAAATGGTGATTGAAGGAAGAGGTAATTGATTAAAGTCACAAGAGTTCAAAAAGTACATCAGGGCCTTCCTAGTAAGTATGCATTAGAAATGTTCAGGACACTCAATACCTTCACTTGTGAATTCTATCAATTATGTGTCTAGGAAATCATCTATTGAATATAGTTCATCTAATTTGTTGGGATAAAATTGTTCATACTTCTGTTATTGCTAGTGTTCTCTTTTATTGTCTTAAACCAATGGTACTTCAATAACAAAATATTTGTAACTTACAGAATTTCTCTTTTAAATGCTGAGTGCTTATCCCTTTTGCCAAGTACTGTCAGGTCTTATAAAAACTCAAATAATTTTGACCAAAGTCCATATCAAAGTTTCCAATGTTCAATGATTCAAATTTAATGATTTATATTTCAATTTAATTTCAATGTACATATGTTTATTAAGCATCTGGTATGCCCCAAATCACAGTCCTAGGAGTGTAAATATAGCACTAATCAGAGAAACATTCCAATCCCTTGGAGTCTAAATGTTGATGTGTGTGTGGAGGGAACAGGGTGACAAACTTACAGAACAGAGTTAAACTAATTTACTGTATGCAATCTAGTGCCTTTTTAATGATAACTTTTCCACATATAAACCTAATGAACACAGATGCAAATTTCCTCAATAAAATTTTAGCTATTAGAATCCAACAATGCATCCATAAGATAATTCACCACGATCAAGTAGGATTTATTCCAGGGACACAAGGATGGTTCAACATCTGAAAATCAATCAATGTTATCCAACACATCAACAAAAAGAAATATAAAAACCATATGATAATATCAGTAGATGCTGAGACAGCATTTGACAAAGTACAACACCCATTTATGATAAAGGACCTTGAAATTCTTGGCATACAAGGAACATCCCTCAACATCATAAAGGCCATATATGACAAGCCCATAGCCAGTATCATTCTCAATGGCAAAAAGCTGAAAGCATTTCCGTTAAGATCTGGAACAAGACAAGGATGCCCACTCTCACCACTGCTTTTCCATATAATACTGGAAGTCCTTGCTAGAGCAATAAGACAAGAGAAAGACATACAAGGAATCGAAATAGGGAAGGAAAAAGTTAAACTATCACTATTTGCAGATGATATGATCATATACATAGAGAACCCCAAAAACTCCACAGAAAAACTAATTCAACTAATCAATCAGTTTAGTAAAGTGGCAAGATACAAAATCAACATGCAAAAATCAGTAGCCTTCCTATACACAAACAATAAATCTGAAGAAGAAATAAAAAAAAAATCATCCCTTTTATTATTGAAAAAAAAATCAAATACTTGGGAATAAACATAACAAAAGAGGTAAAGGACCTATACAAAGAAAACTATAAAACACTGTTAAAAGAAATAGAAGATACAAAGAAATGGAAAGACATCCCCTGCTCATGGATTGGAAGAATTAACATTATCAAAATGGCCATCCTACCAAGAGCAATTTACAGATTCAATGCTATTCCAATCAAAATTTCAATGACATTCTTAAAAGAAATAGAACAATTATTGATGAAATTCATATGGAATCACCAAAAACCCCAAATAGCTAAAGCTCTTCGAAAGAGAAAGAAGGAAATGGAGGCATCACACTCCCAGACTTCAAACTATACTACAAAGCCATAATCATCAAAACTGTATGGTATTAGAACAAGAACAGACACACGGACCAATGGAACCAAATAGAAAATCCAGAAATAAACCCACAGATTTATGGTCAACTAATCTTTGACAAAGGAGCAAAAATATGCGCTATGGAGCAAAGAAAGTTTGTCCAATAAATGGTGCTGGGAAAACTGGGTCGCTACATGCAAAAGAATGAAACTTGACTACTAGCTCACACCATGCACAAAACCCAACTCAAAATGTATTAAAGAACTAGACATAAGACCTGAAACCATAAAATACATAGAAGGAAATATAGGCGAAACACTACATGGCATGCACCTCAAAGACATCTTTACAGACACATCACCCAAAGCAGTGAGAGTGAAGGCAAAGATAAATAGCTGGGACTGCATCTAATTAAAGAACTTCTGCACAGCAAAAGAGACAATAACCAAAACAAAGAGAAACCCCACCGACTGAGAGAAAAGTTTTGCACACAACACTAATGATAAAGGACTGATCACAAAAATCTACAAAGAGCTGATGAGACTCAACAAAAACAAAGACAATAATCCAGTCAAAAAATGGGCAGAAAAGCTAAAAAGAAACTTTTCCAAAGAGGAAGTACAAATGGCCAACAGACATATGAAAAAATGTTCAACTTCACTTGTAATCATGGAAATGCCAATCAAAACTACAATGAGATATCATCTTACACCAGTGAGAATGGCACATATTAAAAGAACTAGTAACAACAAATGTTGCCGAGGTTGTGGAGAAAAAGGAACTCTCCTGCATTGCTGGTTGGAGTGCAAACTGGTCCAACCGCTATGGAGAGCTGTGTTGGAGATTTCTTGACCTACTAAACATAGAGCTTCCATATGATCCAGCAATTCCACTCCTAGGTATTTACCCAAAGGACACAGAAACATTAATTCCAAAGGGCACCTGCACCCGTATGTTTATAGCAGCACTATTTACAATAGCTAAGCTATGGAAACAACCCAAATGCCCAAAAATAGATGACTGGATCAAGAAGATGTGGAACATATACACAAAGGAATATTACTCAGCAATCAAAAAAGATAAACACATGCAGTTTGCAGCAACATGGATGGAGCTGGAAGGGATCATGCTCAGCAAAATAAGCCAGAAAGAAAAAGAAAAATACCAGATGGTCTCACTCATAGCAGTAATTTAGAAAACCTAAATAAGGGACCAGGAAAAAGACTAATTAATACAAAGTAAAAATCAAAATCAACAAGCAATATAAACCAGAGACATACAACGGGGTGGGGGGGAGGGCAAGGAGAGGAAGGATCAGAGTCAAAATAAGGGGGGGGGTGCAATTGTATGCGAAATATAACCAAAATGAAAATGCCTACATTGTGCAAAAATGAAAAATGATGTAAGAATTATATAAAATAAAATATTTAAAAAATAATAAAATAAAAAAATTTTCAGATATTATATTTGGAAAAAAAATACATTTCTGTGTCAGTTTGCTGATGCCCTGATTTCTTCATATTTATGAACAAGAGGTAAAACTGGAGAAATTTTACAGTTTCCAGATATTATTCTCATACAATAGCAAGCCTTTGGGGGTAAATGAAGATGCTCAGGCTTTTGCTCCATTGGCCTCTGTGGCTATCACCTGGGGACTTGAATGCAAGAGGAGCTTGGGAACGTGGGCTCAGGGTACCTGGAGTATGGAGTGGGCATGGATAAGTGGACACACCTGAGCTGAGAGACTAAGCATGTAAGGGCAGCATCACAGAGAGGATGGTGTGTGGCAGAGGACAAGGATTGCTGCGAGAGGAAGAGATCATGAGAGGACACCGGAGATAAGACCAGAGGAAAGATTCACCAGGGGCTGGGAGACCTTCCAGCTTCCTGGCCCCCCCAGAACCCTCGGCCCTCCCTGCTGCCTGCCTGCACTACAATGCCCTTTCTAAAATGGTTCTAGAATATTAACTAGCACCTTGACGGCACTTATTAAGTGGTGGGTAGATATCTGTTGTAAGTAATTTGCAACATTTACACCTCACAACAACCCTAGGAGTTAGTCCTACTGTAATTCCTACTTTGAAATGAAGAAAGGAAGCACAGAGAGGATATGTAATTCAATGGTTACTGGTGGAGCCAGTAGTTATTCTCACACTGTCTTATGCTTAACTATATAATACCAGCATGAATTTTGAGTAAACTGCTCTAAGTACAAGCTAAATATCCCCAAGAATATTCTGGAAATAGGGAGGTAACTTAGACTCAGGTATCTAACAAAGAATTCTGCAGACTCAGCACATGCTTTCTGTCTTCACTCTGGGTGTAGGTAGGCTTGAATTTGTCTACACATCAGAAAACCATTTGGGTCACATCACCCTACTCTTTAGGACATTTGAACAAAGATTCAGTATATAAAACCTCAGGGCCTGTTTGTGAGGTTGACTTGAAGAAACTTCTGGCAGTTATTATAGATGGAAATACAATGGAGGGTGGCTTGAAGGATATTTAGGCTGAGTCTCCCCAAGACAGATTTATTGGTAGGTCAACCAATATTTGTATGATACGTGAGCTTGTATAACTGGTAATTTGATTTTGTCCAATCACACAATTTCTTCAGGCACAGAGATGCCAGCTTATGATAGCCAAACTGTCTATTGCAGTATAAACAACAATGTCAAGGTTTTCATTTACAAATGGTAGTTACTGTTTCTGGGATCTGCTGTGTGATAATTAGGTACAGGCATACCTCATATATATTTCAGGTTCTGTTCTAGAGCCCACAATTTAGCAATTATCACAGAAAAGTTAATAGTTCAACAAAGTGAGTCATATGAATTTTTTTGTTTCCTAGTGCATTTAAAATTTATGTTTATGATATGCTGTAGTCTAGTAAGTGTGCAATAGCCTATGTCTAAAAGAACCCCAATGTGTGTGTGCATACCTTAATTTAAAAATATTTCATTGCTAAAAATCCTCATCAGGGCCTCCCTGGTGCCACAAGGGGTTAAACACCGCACTATGAAGCAATCCACAGCCTCTGCAGCATGAGTTCAATCCCCGGCCAGGGAGAAACCCACATGGTGAGGCAGACCTCTCCTGCCTCACCAGCTGCTCCCCTCAGCAGTGTATTTCAGTCAGTCTGCCTGTTCTGTTCCCCACTCTGTCTCTGGTGGATCTTCTCACCCCTCACATCTCTGGCCTCTACCCCAGCTCTTTTATGCATAAATAAATAAATCTTAAAAAAAATCCTCATCATTATCTTAGCTTTCAACAAATTATAATCTTTTTTGCTGGTGGATATCTTTTAACAAAGGCAATATTTGCAAAGTGCAGTAAAGCAAAGCATAATAAAATGAGGTATGGCTGTGTTATTTTCTCAGATCATGTGAGAGCTTACTTAAATAATCAGTGGCTGCTAGTATTCACATAATCATAACAAAGGAATATGTTTTTGAGGGTGAGGTAAAGCTCCATGATCCTCTCTGTCCCACAATAGGAAACAGTTCTCGTGGGATAAAGAACTGTAGTTCCCCAGGCCCAGCGATGGATAAAAAAGTGAATATCATTTTTCAGACAAGCTATACTAAGGAGAAGAGAAACTGGTTCAATTAAATAAAGGATATTACTACACTAATAGAAAAGCTGAGGATCAAGGGTAGGAGTAGGCAGATCTAGAGGATCAGAAAGCAAGAACCACAGGAATGGTCTCATTTCATGGCCAGTCTTGTATGGACACTACCTATGATTCGGTGCCTCTTGCTCAGATTGTAGAGCCAGGCATGAGTATCTAATTTGCCAAGCTAAGTCAGGTGCCTGATGTTGGGCTAAAGGAGGCCCAGGTTTGAGTATTCCTAGACTCACACCCCACACAAAGAGCAAATTCTTCCAGGAATTTAGAGTAATTTTAGGAAGAAAAACTGCATGCTGTGCTGATCCTCAGCATAAGATGTCACGACAAGTTATTAGAGCTCATGACCAGAGACCATCAAGAACATACTATATAATCAAAAGTTGGATACTGATAAAAGGACAATATACTCTAGAGTATCCTGCTAGGAGGGAGTTTGATGGACTTTTATCACATGGACTTTTGTTTGATGATTCTAAGGAGGCTTAAAGAAAGGGCCAGTTCTAGATTGGGAAGAAGTGACTGCAATTGATGATTATATAGAACATTTTTTATTTAGGAGTTGGGAAGTTTAAAGGAAGGGTAGAGATTCCTTGGTAAAGAAGCAGTCACCAGTAATGTACAGCAGAGGATAGGAGTGTTGTTATTTTATTGTTGTTGAGCATCCTTGTCACTGTCTTACTTCAGACATTTTGGTCATATGTCTTTCCATTCTGGGTGGATATTAGTCTGTGTTCATTAGGAACCTTCTAGTTTTGCTGGCAGTTGTAAGCTGCCATCCTGGGAGATTTTCACTTCATCCATCTTTGAAGTTCACCAAAACTGAATAGATTTTCAGCCCTGATTTTCCTCCTAGCAACTTAGAGACACATTCAGTCTTTTAAGGTAACATCTACAACTACTTAATCATGTCTATGGTGACCAATATCACCAGCACTCAGATATCGGAGGGACATCACACAGATAGAGACCATAGTGGCTACATGAGTTAGGCACAGTTTTGGTTTTATTTATTTATTTATTTATTTTTAAAGTATTTCAGTTCATTTACTTATTTATTGTGTGTGTGTGTGTGTGTAACCTTCGCCAGCGGCCAGGGAACGAACCGGTGCTGCAGAGGCTGCGGGCAGCCTCGCAGCCCAGCTCTCAACTGCTGCGCCACCAGGGGAGGCCCACAGTTTTGGTTTTTGGGTTTTTTTTTTAGAGAAAAGAAAAGGCAGATTTATTGAAATATGCTGCTGAGAGGAGCAACAAGTGACATGAGGAACCATCTGTGCTCATGTTTCTTGATGCTTCATCCTTTGGTGCATCTATATTAATGAGTGTTATTTCTTCTTCTTGTGTTAACCATTAATCATTATATAGTATCCATTTCTTTTTTTTATTTTTTACGTCATTGTTCATTTTTAAACAATATTTGCTTCCCCCCACCCCCTCAGGTGTAGTCCCCATGGAGTTTCCTTTACCAATGCACCCGTGCACCATCACCTCGGTCCGCTGTGCTCCTTCCTCCCTCCCTCTGATCCCTCTCCCTCCTCTCCTGTATTATGTCTCTGATTTATAATTGTCTGTTTTTGCTTTGTTGTGTTTTGTACTTTTATTATTTTTTTACACTGATGTCTCATTTGGTTTCCCTATATTCCTGTTATAAGTGAAACCATCCGATATTTTTCTTTTTCCTTCTGGCTTATTTCACTGAGCATAATTCCTTCTAGTTGCATCCATGTTGCTGCAAATGGCATGAGTTTATCTTTTTTGAATGCTGAATAATATTCCATGGTGTATATATACCACATCTTCTTGATCCAGTCATCTATTTTTGGGCAGTTGGGTTGTTTCCAGGTTTTACCTATTGTAGATAGTGCTGCAATAAACGTGGGGGTACAGGTGTTCTTTTGAATAAATGTTTCTGTGAGCACAGCTTTTTTTTAAATAATTCTCAGGATTTATTTCATAGCAATCAACTATTTCTTATGATGAGTAAATACATTTTCTTACTGAAGAGTAAATGTTTGAATAAATGTTACTGTTCTTTTGAATCAATGTTTTTCAGATAGTGAAAATTATAAAAGATTCCTTATTCCTTTGAAATATTTTAACTTTTGTTATGGTACTGTTTGAGCTTCCTGTGCAGATTCTTTATTGTCACTGTTCTTTATACAACTCATCAGCACCTCAATGATTGGGAGATAGAAAGACTTCACAAACCCCTGGCCCTTCCAGCAAGCCCATATCCTCTAATGTTCTTTGATTGTTGGGAAGTATGCCATCAGCTTCTGTTTTCTGGTATCCCTCTTCTTCCTGTTTGTCTTCATCTCTCTAGGCTCTTGGTGAATTTGTCCTAGTGGAAAAAGATGTCAAGATTAAAAAGAAAGGAAAGATTTACAGCCTCAATGAGGGCTATGCCAAGTACTTTGATGCTGCCACCACGGAATATGTGCAGAAAAAGAAATTTCCTGAGGTGAGTGAAGAAAGCCAGAGGCAGTAGCAGAGAGAATGGTATCCCATTCTCCTTGCGAACATGGGTTCATGTTTCAATGGTGACTTTGAGAACCTGGCTGGAAGAGGTTGGTGCCCATGTTTGTGGCTTGGTCAGTATAAGAAAGGTAGACCCTGTCTTTCTTCTTAAGCAATTAGTATCTATTTTATAGCCAAACTTTGCCTACTAAAGATAATACTATATTTGTGTTTTCCCAGGAGAAATTGCTTTTAAAGAAGGTGGAGATTTCATTTTCAAAATTCAGAATTTCAGTTCAGAACCATTCTCATATTATTTGTTTACTGAACTACTAATTATAGAGATTCTAGTCACTTGTTATATTTGCTTCTAGCTGGGATAATGGAAAGTCCAATTTATATTTAAAGTTTTAGGAAACTTTAAATATAAGCCCTTTGGTTCAAAATTTGAACACTGATTTTTGGACTTCCTGTTATGATTAATATAGACCAAGAAATTCATTAAATATGTCTACCATTCAAAAAGAGTTTATAAGACTGGTATGGGAGCACAGTTGACCAACTCATAAAGGAGAATACTTATCTTACTAGTGAAAAATAAAACTATATAAAAAATATGGTACATCTTGTTAAAGGACAGTTGCCAACTGAGAAAAGTAGTCATCGCATACATGACTACCAAGGTCAATAGTCTAGTGACACAGGACCCTTTATAAAACGTAACATGAGGATGAGCACCCAAATAGAAAATCAGGCGTAGGGCACAATACAAGTCACAGAGGAAACATCAACATCCCATCAACAAATGTGGGAATATGCTTATAAAGGAGAAATAAAAATTAAAATGCAACATCCTTTCTGCGTATGAGATTTGCAAAGATTTAGTGCTTACTGGTGTGAGAAAACATGAACTCTCATAAATTATTAATGAAAAAAGATGTTACAGCTTTCCCAGATGGCAATCTGGCAATCTGATTTCAAATATTAAATATCCATGCCTTTTGACTCAGCAGTTTGTCCTGAAGTCCCACAGAAATTTATCCTAAGAAATTAATAAGAAAAAATTAGAAATATAAATGCAAAAAGATGTCTTTGCAGCAATGTTGATAACAACAGAAGGAGCACCTGAAGTATGTCAGGAAAGGCTGGTTATTATATTGTGGGGCATCCATAATATTCCAGTGGAATACCGTACTACCCATCTAGTCATCCACTGGAAAGGCAAATCCTTCTTAATGTATTAATAGTGAAATAAATAGGTTACAGAACTAAATATAATCTCATATTTAAATATATATATGTGTGTGTGTCTCTGTTTATGTATTTATGCACACACACGAATAGTGTAGCTGGTCCTCAAATAACGTGTGGTTTGTTCAATGTTGCTTTGTTATAATATTGATGAAAAATGTAATTACTGGCCATGGCCACAGAGTGTGGAGTTTGCATATCCTCCTCATGTTTCCATGGGTTTTTGGTGGGTATGCCAGTTTCCTCCCACAGACCAAGAGTTATTAGGAGGGTCATATGACACCTGTATTATATGCCAGTTTGTAAGGATGAGCACACTTTTTGTTCAGGCACAGAGGCACCCTGAATGTTAACCAAACTCTCAGTTGTGTAAAACACAATGTCAAGACTTTTATTTACAAAAGAAAGTTACTGTTTTTGCACATGAGGTTCACTGGTATGTCCAAATTGTCCTAGTCTGAGTGTGTGTAATGGAAGACTGTCCTGTCCAGGGCTGGTGCCTACCTTGCATCCTGAGCTACAGGAATGGGCCCCAACCATCCATGAACCTGAATTGGAAGAGGTAGATTGGAAAGTGAGTGAATGAATGCAAATTATTGTAAATTAAAAATTTAAGAAGTACACAGTAATGTACAACAATAAATGACTGGGAAGAAAGCACTCAGAGAACCTGCCATATTTATTATTGTTTTTGAACTGCTTGGTGATAGGAGGTTCTACTTATTATTTTTGATTTACACTCACTTACTCCCTGATTTAACCCTATTGCAATGATATCTAAAGTGCACAGTGCATGCACTTTATTATTATTTATTAGTCACAAATTATTTATTAGTCACAAATTAATAAATAATTATTTATTAAATAAATTATTATTTATTAGTCACAAATTATTATTTATTAGTCACAAATAAACAGAGAAGTGTGGTATGAGAAACGTAACTAGAAGTCTTAATGAGGTATGCTCTTGGACAGTGAGATATGGATGCTCCAAGAGTTGTTGGTTACCTCTGACAACTGTCTGCAATAACATCAAAAATATCAAAGCTTGTGCTCCAAGTGTAACACCTGTAGTTGCTATAACATTAACCTGTCATAGAAACAGCAGAGTGGAAAATATGGAAAATATTTTAATATAGGGATGGAGGACACCCATCAGTGAAGCGATCAGTCCTCACTCATCACTATAAAAATGAAAGCTTTAAGTTTATTTGAATATCTAAAGAAAAAATATTTCTAATGCTGAAAGTGAAATCTTTGTCACAAGTTTTAGTATTTAAGTAACATTCAAAATGGTATAACATCCAAACAATAGGTGAGTTTGTAAGTGTTGACAAAGAAAGCACAGTTGCTTACTCAGATTTATGGGCGGGGGGGGGGGGAGGTTGATGAAGGAGGATACATTTTGCCCAAAATTTTAATGTAGATGAGGTAGACACTTTTTAAAAATGAATGCTAAAATAAATACATTTCTAAAGAAGAAAAAGCAGCAGAATTCAAGGCGGCCAAAGATTATCTGGTTCTTCCACTTGGTGGTAATGCTTTAGGAGATCTGAAGCTTAAGTCACTGGCTGTTTATTATCTGAGACACTAAAATCTTTGAAAGACTAACATGAACATCAACTTCCTGTTATCTGACTATCAAATAAAAGGGGATGGGTCACCAGAACAACGTTCCAAGAACTAATTTGCTTTGTACTTCTGCCCAGATATCAAAGAATATCATTGTGACCAAAACCCATAAATACATAGGTGAAAACACAGGTAAAACACCGCACGACATTGGCTTCCCTGATGTCTTTGGGGTCACTACTCCAATGGCAAGGAAAATAAAAGCAAAAATACATAAATATATTACATCAAATTAAAAAACTTCTACATAGTGAAACTTAAGACATTCTAGAGAATGGGAGAAAATATTTGCACATCATATATCCAACAATGGGCTAATATTCCAACAACCACAAAGAATTCATACAACTCAATAAAAAGAAAACAAACCCAAACAAAAATGAGCAGAAGTGTTAAATATTGACACATCCAAAGAAGACATACAAATGTTCAACATCAGTTATCAGGGAAATGCCAATCAAAACCACCCCAAGTGGTATAATAAGTGATCTTGAACATTTTTCATATGCCTGTAGGTTATATGTATGTTTTCTTTGGAGAAGTGTCTATTTAGGTATTTTGACAATTTTTTTATTGTTCTTTTTTTTTATTGTTGAGTTGTATGAGTTCTTATATGTTTTTGGAAATTAACCCCTCTTTGGCACCATGTAATGTGAAAATATCTTCTCCTAACCCATTGGTTGCCATTTTGTTTTTGTGGGTTTTTGTTTTTTTTTTTTAGCAATACTAAAGCTTTTAAGTTTGATGTAGTTCCATTTGCTTATATTTGCTTTTGTTTCCTTTGCCCTGAAAGTTGAGTCCCAATATATTTCTGTGGTGAGCATTCAGGAGTGTATCACCTATGTTTATTTCATGTACTTTATGGGTCTTATATCCAACTCTTTAATCCAATTTGAATTAATTTTTGTATATGGAGTTAAATATTGACCTTCTTTCTTCCAAAGCATCTGCCTCTGTGTTCCCAGCTGGTTCCCATCACAGTCAGGACAGGGTTAGGAGCCACAGATGCACTAGAAGAAGGAGAGGTGGTGGGTGGGGCCTGGGAAGGGATCACTGGGATGTACTTAATGCCCACGTCCCAGACATTCTGTTATGTACCCACATTCTAGTGTATGTGATAGATATATCTTCCCTGTAAACAAAGACATTTTTCAAGAATGTGAAATGAAATAAAAATGGAAATTCCTCATATTAATTTGCCTTACAAAGGACTGATTGAAGGGAAGTATGAAAATGAAGACATTTCATTAAATAATTTAGGGAGTTCTATATAGGAGCAATATTCTTTTAGACATGTGGTTTGAGGTATGGTTTTTTACATTCTCTTTAGACATTTGCCTGTAGATTGTTATGTAAATCAACCCCATTGTGGTGTTGGTGGTTGGGGAGTGTGTGGAAAGTTATGCCACAAACGCATAAAATGTTTATAAAAATAAATGTATCTTATTGAACTTGATGCAACGTGTAGTGGGACAAAACAGGAAGTAGTGAATACCCAATTTTCTCAATTCAGCATCCATACTGGCTCCATAGGGATCTTTCTAGGTCTCACATTATAGAGGATATAGAATAAACTTCCTAACCTCACCTAGCCAGAGCACATAGGGCCTGACCTTTCATTCCCTACTTTTGTCCCTCCTGCCTCCTGTTCTTCAGTCATACTAAAATGCTTGCCATCTTAACAGAAGAAAAGCAAATTTCCTTTTGTGCATACAGAAATCCCTTTTAAAAATATGCACTCAGACAAGTGACCAAAGCAGGTGACTCCATCTACCTTTTAGACAAACAATAAACCTGTAAAGAAAAAAGAGGCCCCTCTGCTCTCCGTGACTGGGGAGGCGGCCCCGGGGACACGGGGTGGCCGAAGCAGCGCCCAGGTGTGTGGAGGCGGCCGCAGAGCCCCCAGAACCCGCGCGAGCACCAGGCCCAGGGACCCGCAGGCGCTGCCGAGGCTACGCGTGGGCGCCGCGGTTGTAGGCGCCTCCAGACACCGGCCGCGTGAGCCACGAGGTCTACATTAGCCTGGGTCTGGAAGCAACACCTGACGTCCATCCAGCGAGCAGCTCACCGTGCTCCTGGAAGCGCTGGCTCAGACTGTCCTCACCTGCGGGTGTTTCCTGT